ATTTATAAAAAAATATGTATATAAGATAAATAATAATTTTAACAATAATTAGCAAAATAAAGGTAAGTATAATGTATAATTATATTAAAATAATGTTATGTGAATAGTAATTTTTTTTCTTTTGAAATAGAAAATTGGCTTTAAAATAATACACAACGCGAAAAGATATCGTGTATTTAATTAAATGTATGTATATTTATTCATATTTAAAATGGATAATTTTGTTGATACTAAAATAGTTTATTAAAAGTTATTTAAAAAAAAAAAATAAATTTTTTGTTAAATATTTTAATTTATAATAATTTAACTACAAGTTATAATAATTATATTATAATAAATAAAATATATAGAAATTTTTTTATATCTCTCAATTCAACTAGAATACTATATGTTTTTTAGAGGATAATAAATTATCTTTTTCTTTAAAAATATGTAAATTTATTAATTCCCCTAAGAAAAATTAAAAAATAAATATTAAATTAAAAAATTTTTTAATTATTATATATAGTAACTTTATATATTTTTTATACAGTTACTGCTATTCAAAAGACTGATGATATCTATTACCGAGGAATTAATTTTTGAAACTAAATTTTTAAATTCAAAGCTTAAGAAGAAAACAAAAAGGGTTTTAAAAATATTTAATTTATGTGTAGTTATAGAATGTTTATAAATATAAACTTGCTCATTTGCATTAAAATATTATTTTATATTTAATGTATAGTCTTAATGGAAATTTAAATTTTTAAAGAAATAGAAATAATTTCTATTAAGATAAATAGCCTCTGAAATAGTAAATGTACAAACATAAAATATATTTATATAAAGCTTTCTCATTCCACAGAATTCGTATAATTTTGCAACTGAAATTAGTAGAAACTGTTAACCATGTTTTGTATTAATTAATTGCAGAATTATTGTGGCATGGTTATTGTACACCAAATTAATAAATCTATTATATAAATAAAATAAAAAATATATTTTATTTCCACTAAAAAAAATTTAAAAAACTTTTTTTTATTATTTATACTTATTTTCTGATAGAACACATATATATATTTTTAGGATACGCTTTTAATTATGTGTATTAGCGTATATATTTCATCGTATGTATTTTTCAAATATTATATATATATATAATAAATTATTAGATATATTTATTTCTAGTTTATTAATTATTCATTTAAGGATTTTATTCGTTGAATATTAAAATTAATAACAAGTATGTAGATCTTTATTCATTTTACCTCTTATAATATCAATTATTATAAATAATAATTAATTATGATTTATGCTATTTAATTTAGAATTAAAATTTACTTTTTTTTTTATTAAAAATCTTTATTATATTTATATAATTTTTGATAATGTGCCATTTAATACCATCTTTTATGATTTAATTTAAAATAGAGTCAATATATATACAATAATATATTTAACATTATATGTAACCTTATGAGGTTTTTGCTACATGTACTATCAACAAAAGTTTTCATTGAATTTTTTGAGAATTTACATGATAGTGGGCTATTTTAAAATATTTCCTGTATATGTTTTATAATTAAAAGATACGCTATGAGACATACGTGAAGAAATGTATAACACTGTTTTATTTACATACAAAAATCACAAGGTCGTGAACAAGAAAATGCATAATTTATGAAATGTAGAATTGATATATTAGTTGTCTCTTAAGTGACTTTGCTAGAGTTCTAAACAAACATATTAATAAAGAGCATATAGAGTCTACTAATTTAATGAATTTATTTATAATTTTAAATAATGTAAAACAAGTAAACTATATTTATGATGTATGTAGTATACTTCATTGAGCAATGCTTATTTTCAGGAGGTATTTATTTAATAAAAATCCTTATATTCATGAAAAATTTAAACCCTTTTTAATATTGATTCTTAAATATATTTTACTTATAATGTTATGAATAATGTTTAACAACTCAAGATCACTATTTTGAAGTTAACGAGCATAAGTATTTAATGAAATACAAATTAAATTTTATACACATTACAAACATGAAAATTTTATTTTTACATATATATTATTTTCTCTTAAAAATAAAAACTCAATAAAAATTCGTTATAAAAAAGCTCTCTTGTAAACAAATTAATTCTCATTTTTTTTGAAACATTATTTTTCTATCAATTAAATCCCTTTTAAAATAATAAAAATATTTTTTTACGTATATCCTTTATAAAAAGAAAACAAAAAAAATTAAATAAATTTTTTTTCTTTTTATTAATTATCTAGTGCTTGCATGGTTAATTATGTATTTTCCATATATCTAGTTATTTTCATTCTCAAAAAAGGTTAAAAATTCCTTTTATTAACCAATTAGAAGCTCGCTTATAAAATATACATGATATTAGTAACAAATTTATAAAATTTAAGTATGCATTTTTAATTTACTTTTTTTTTTTTTTTGTAGTATCTTATTGATAATTTCCTTTATCTAATTTTATAAAAACCGATGATAGAAATGATAAAAATCATTATAAATGAAAATAAATTCATTTAATTTATTGTAAGTAGTTAATTATATGAGAGGTATGTAGTTATCTACTTAAATTAATCATATTACAAATAAAATAACTAGAGATTTATCTACTTACTCTTTATTAATTTGACCTTTAAAGTCCTATAAAAGTCTTTAAACAGATAATTAAAAAATCACTTTCCCATATAACTTTTATTAATATGATTATTCATTATATTAAGAAAAGTTTTAAGCAATAAACTAATGATCATTCATTAACATATGCAAATTATTTTAACATATATATTTGTTTTTTCATATAATTTAAAATGATATATAAGGAGGGATAATTATTTTAAAATTTACATTTACTATAGGAATTAACGTTATGTTTTTAGAATTAAAAATAATATATATAAAATAATATATTAACATTTAAATTTATATTTTTCCTTAGTATTTTTAATAAAATTCGATATCTATATTTAAAAAATTAAAATAAGTAATAGAAACAAAGAATACGAAAAATGAGGTAAATAAATAGTATTTTAACCTATTTTTTATCGAAATAAGAATTAATATAAATCAGATTAATTTTAACTTATGCATATGTAAGGTATGTGGGTAAAATAATCATGTTGAAATGCATACAATACAGTTCATAAAGTTTAAAAAACAAATTTAGTAAAAAGAAGGACGCTACATTACATATTTTAGTAAGTGAATAATAGTTTTTCTCATTTTTTTTTTTTTTTATTCTTAAATAAGTGTTTCTTTTTCTTTTTTTTTTTTTAGAAGAAAAAATTTATTTCTGCCTAATTCATAATATGACATGAGCTAAAATATAATAAAATTGTATATAACATCAATCGCTTAGTGTATATGTTCAATAATGTTTAAAGTTAATAATTAAGCTAATATTAAATGACAATTTATTTTATGTAAATGTAATATAATTTAATTTAAAAATTAAAAATAGATTTTTAGTCAAAATAATTTTTTTTATTTTTATATGACTTTTAGTAATTTATTATGTGTTTTATTAATTACTTATTGAATGATTTTTCTTGAGCATTGAACAAAAAAATTAATAAAAAAAATATAGAATTACCTGTGCAATTTAATTAATTTAAATATAATTTTAAATGTTATAAACTAGTAAACTTTATTTATATAGTTAACTTCATTGAGCATTTATTGTTTTTAATAGGTATTTATTTTCTCTAATAAAAATCCTATAATTTTATTAAAAGCATAAATCCTTATTAATTATCAATTTTTAATTAAATAAATTTTAATTATGATGTTATAATTAATGTTTATCATTTCATATTTACTGCTTTTAAGTTAACAGAAATAGGTAATTATTAAGACATAAAATTAAATTGTATAATTATTATAAGAACGATAATTTTAATATTGAAAGTATAATATTTTTTTTTTTAGTATCAAACAAAATCAATTATCAACCATATGTTTTTATTGACGTTTGTTTTGTGGATTATATGTAACAGCTCGAAAAAAAAATAAATATTTTTTTTTATAACATTTGCATAGTTAAACATGTATTTTTCATGTAGATAATTTTTATTTTTAAAAAGGTTAATAATACTTTTTATTAGCTGTTTGCTCAGTATTCTATATA